AGTAGTATAAAAAAAGGAAAAATTTGTAGTTGCCTGAATCGATGAATAGTATGTGGTACATACAATCCAAAACGTGAGGTGGATGCAGCGGAAATTGCAACGACCGTGATGTAACACGTTGCATCGCACAGGTATTTGGGACGCAGCGCCGCGCCGTGCGCCGCACTACACTACTACTACACTTAGCGAGTGGCGCAAATGTAAGCGACACGCGGGCTGACACTCATATATTGATGACCTCGATGGTCTAGCGGTTTAACTCACTGCTTTACTTCCGATGGTCGCGAGTTCGATTCCTTGACGGTGCAAACAAACAGACAGACAAAAGTTGTAAAAATTTTTGTTTTGGTGTATGTACCGTATTTATATCCATATGCATGTAGTAAAAAACGGTTATTTCAATATTACATACAGACACTACAATTTTATTTATATGTATAGATGATGCAACCGCCTGTACCAACGGTACTAGCTGATGCCCACCAGTGGAGTATCATAAGATGAGATGAGGTCAGGTCTGTTACCATATATAACATAATCAGCAGGAATTAATTATGATGGTTCTCAGAGGTCACCACATGGAAGTCGATCTGCCACAGTACATAGATGGCAAATAAATTATATTTCTCCTTCTATCCCTCCTCTGAGGCGCAGTATTAATCTGCACATTACATACCACGCGGCAAGAATGACGAGTTACTTTGTTGTGGCGTGTACCAACATTAGCACGTGTAACAAATGTGTGTCACGTCCCTGTCACGTTGCTGCCGTAATCACTGATTCATTTCCATAACCAACTAATTGACATGGTGTCAGGACACAGAGTCGTGGGCGAGCTGCTCACGAGAGACTATTGTGCTTACATACCATAGAATAGTGAAATCAAATCAAAATATCTTTATTAATGTAGGTCTACTACAAAAACTTATCTAAATGTCGTTTAACTGAAGTTAGTAATTCGTTTTATGACAATTGTGTAATGTTTTACAACAAAATACCGGAGTCTGTTATAAATCTGCCTGAAAAAAGATTTAAATGTCATATAAAATACTTCCTTTGCAAAAAAGCTTACTATAAAATTGAAGAATTCCTTAAGGACAATAATGTTTCTTGAAATATTTAATAGCACTGACAATATTATCTGATTACACTAATAATGAGTACGTAGCGATTTCTATGTTGATTATCGCATGCCTCTTACTTGTTATACTGTAATTATTATATAAAAATAACATCTATTAAAAAGAGCAACACACAAGTTTCTTGCTCATTCTTCTTGTGATGAATCTGCATTCCGAATGAGTGGTAGAATCAAAATATGACTATTCAAAAGTGCTTGTAATCAATTTATATGAATAAAGATTATTTCTATTTCTGCAGACTCTTGTCATAGGCTAAATCTACCGTCAGTTCGGAGTGCTTTCGAGCTGAGACGATCTGACAAGAAACAACGAAGGCGCGAGTACAGCTAATCTGTAATATTAATTCTGGAACAATCGCTTCCAATCACACGTCGCCGTTCGTTTGCACTTTATCAACTGTTGGGAGGCTGCGTTGATGATTCACCGCGTGGTAATAAACGCATTTTAATGCATTCCCGGAATCCATTGTGAATCAAACGAAACGATTCGGTTCAAATGCGTTATTTATAGTTTGTTACTGGTGGCTCCTGGTGAACGACTCCATGCGTTTTTCATTTGGCTGCGGACCTCGTGCTGCACATGGTCCATTGTCACTACTCAATTACATAACGACAGATAGTTTTAAACATATGACGACCTCGGTGGTCTAGCGGTCTAGCACACCGCTTTACGACCGATGGTCGCGGGTTCGATTCTTCGCACGGCACAAATAATAATTTGTGCCGTGCGAAGAACTATATTTAGTTATCTGTAAGATTGTCTGTATCGGTCTGGGTGTTTTCTATGTATAATATGTATGTATTTACGATAAAAGAAATATCTATATAGTTTAGTACCCATAACACAAACTTTAGCTAGCTTAACTTGGGTCTAGATGGCGCTGTGTGAATTGTCCTGAGATTACTATATTACTGCTATACTATATTCTCTATTATTAAGGAAAAGGTTTTATTTCGTGTGTATGTGTATTGCATATACAGAACAAACAGACAGACAGAGAAAATTTTTAAAAAATGTTATTTTGGTACATGTACCGTATCTATATTCATATGCATGTAGTAAAAAACGGTTATTTCAATATTACAAACAGACACTACAATTTTATCACAAAAAGTAATCCACAAGTAAAGAAAAATACATTCAACGAATATTCTACATGATAGAACATCACGAATATGTAGCGTCCTGGTGGTCAGTCAATGTACTGAAAGAGCACCATTATATTCTTATGAATTATATTTAGATTAAAAGCACTCTAATAAATCTAGTTATTGATGTAACGAAAATATTAATATACCAATGATTAATGATTAAACTTTCAAAATTAATCATTTAATACAAATACAGAACGTAATAAACGCGTATAAAAACATCAAAACAGTGTTTAAAATAGATGAAGGACGTGTGCGCCACATTGTAAATAATGGGCCATCGAACTTGCTTGTAGTCAGTTGTATTCACTGCTCAGTTACCAATACAACGCCGGATCTAGGGGGGGTCATGGGGGTCATGACCCCCCCCCCCTGAGCTGGTTCCAGGACTTAGGTGGACCACTAATTGAACATAATGATTTTATTTATATATTTTGACACTATACAGATTTTATGTAACTATAATACATACCTTCAATATTTAATTAATATAATAACTTTGTACATTATTAAATACCTACTTTTTACTGTGTCTATTGTTATCAAAATTAAATTATAAGTTCTTGACTTGACCACGACTACGTGACCCCCTCCTGGCGCCAAAGCTGGATCCGACCTTGTACCGATACATGTTTTTATATCATGTGATGTACGTGCCACTCTTCCTCTGATTCCTTATTACAACAATAAATCTATACATATAAATAAAATTGGAGTGTCTGTTTGTAATATTGAAATAACCGTTTTTTAGTACATACATAGTGTGGCGGGTAAATGATACGATGTAGTTGATAGAGATGTATATTACAGATGATAATAGACTGAGAATAGTACATAGAAATATTGATCTTATATAGTAAATGACAACAGGAAAATGTAAGGTGGGGTGACACAGTTTACAGTTTTCGGGGTTCTACCTTACATTCTAAATTTTTCGGTCCGAACGACTCTACACCGAACTTTACGCTTTATTACGTTCTTTGACGACCTCGGTGGTCCGCTAGGTTTAGCACACCGCTATACTTCTGATGGTCGCGGATTCGATTCCTCGGGCAGCACAAACATTCATTATTCATGAGTATGATCATTTGTATCGGTCTGGATGTTTTCTATGTATATTATGTATGTCTTTACAAAAACTAAATCTAAGTATTGATATCAGTTGTCTAGTACCCATAACACAAGCTCTACTTACCGCGGGACTAGATGGCGCTGTGTTAATTGTCCAGGTTTATTATTATCATTATAAATAAATGTTTAGCAAATTAATATTGTCTGGAGAGTGGAGGGTAGACTAATGACGCATTAAACATTCATTATGGTTGTGTCAGACCTTCAAAACCAAAGAATATCGCAGTAGACAACGTACAAAGTTTACAACGAAATTTCGAAGTAGAGTTTAGTTTCGGTCCGGTTTTATGAAAAATTAAAGTTTCAATTTTGTGTTTGGACCAGAGTGTCAAAGTGTAACTCAAAGAATAGTAACCGAGCCAACGACAGCGTCTAATGCAAAGTAATTAACGTGGCCTACAGTCATGGATATTTTTGTTGTATTTTATTATATTTGTACAGATCAGAAAAACAAAATGATTTGGTACACGGAGAAAACAATATATTAAGATACACTACTTATATGTCAGTACAGAATAGAATGAAAGTAACAAACAAGAATCTACAAAAGGACTACACATTTTAAATACAAATTTCGAATATAAAACACGTTTCTTATTAGTCAGATACAACAATTTTAATATGATTACATAGTGTAAAACAAAGTCGCTATCGCTGTCTGTCCGTCCCTATGTATTTTATTTATTTATTTGTTCTTTATTGAACAAAAAAAAAATGTTTGTACTAGAGGCGAGCTTAATGCCGTATAGCATTCTCTCCCAGCTAATCTTAGGGTATAAACAGAGAGGGTTGTGGGGTGTTAGCGAGAGCTGTTTTAAATTTACTAATACATATACATAACTATACAAGATATATATTAGATATATAGATATATATTATATACATATATATATACACATACATACACGTTAAATATACTAAAACTACGCAACTGATTTTGGTACGGTTTTTTAATAGATAGAGTGATTCAAGAGGAAGGTTTATATGTATATATATATATAATACATGTATACCCGTGCGAAACCGAGGCGAGTGGCTAGTTACATATATTATACTAGCTTTTGCCGCGTTAATTACTCTCTTAGGGGTGGAATATATCAAAATCCTTTCTTAGGGGATGCTTACGTCATAGTAGTTTTATGCACGCAAAGTCTCAGCCCGATCGGTATAAAATTGACAAAGTTTCATACAAACTTTCATTTCCTATTTTATCCCCTTGGGGGTAGAATTGATCAAAATCCTTTCTTAGCGGATGCCTACGTCATAACATCTACCTGCATGCTAAATTTCAGCCCGATTCGTCCAGTGGTTTGGGGTGTGCGTTGATAGATCACTATGTCAGTCATGTTTGAGTTATATATATAGATGTTTCATACGATGTTCACTTTCCTCACAAGCTCCTAGTGGTTTACCCCAAAATTGTACAAACACACCGTCAGAATCGGAACAAGCACGTCAAATAAAGAATAGGACTGTTACAATCGCTTCTATCCACATACCCTGTCAGGATGCTACCTAAAAAAGAATTTAGAGGAAAATTTCAAATGAAACTAACCAACCCCTTTCTTTTTTACAGAAGAAGATGAACACCCAAGAGAGTTGTGGCGAGGAGCCGCCGACCACCGCACCACCGGCCGCCGAAACGCCGCTCGGACCCACCACGGATGTCACCGCCACCACGGGCACCACAGTGGCGGGCGCTGCGGCGGCCGCGGACGGCACGGGGCCCCTCATACCAGTACCGGCCGCGCCCAGGAAGCCGCCCAGGAGAGGGCCCAAAGTACAACAGGAGCGGCCGAAGAGAGCACTCTTCTGTCTAACACTAAAGAACCCTCTAAGGAAACTGTGCATAGATATAGTGGAATGGAAGTATCCTTTTCAATTTTTATATATCACCTAGCTGTACCCGCGACTCGTCCGCGTGGAAATTAACTTTATTTTTCTAAAATTAAAGTAGCCTAAATTATTACATCAGCTACCTGTCAAAAAAAGTCACGTCAAAATCGGTCCAGCCATTTCAGAGATTAGCCGGAACAAATAAACAGACAGACAAAAATTGTACAAAATGTTATTTTAGTGTATGTACCGCATTATATTCATATGCATGTAGTTAATAAACGTTGATTTCAATATTACAAACAGACACTCCAATTTTATTTACATATATGTATGGATTGTAATCTTTAAAATAGTTTTTTAGTACTACTGTAGGGACTCGATATTTATTAAAGTTCAAAACACTTTGGAGAGTCAACAACTGGCGGGGTTTTCTATCTGTTAATCATGGTCAGTGCAGAGATAATTGTTATCGTTTCATTTATAATATAATAGTATACACAAATTGTGGAAACACTTAAATTCAAATTCAGAATATCTTTATTCATGTAGGTCTATTACAGCCTCTTATGATATATCAAATATACCGTCAGTTCGGAGTGATTTCGAGATGAGAAGAACTGATAAGAAACTTAGCTCGTATTCTTTTCAAATAAATGTTGTACATGTTTACAATAATACAGATTCATTTAAATTCAAATTTGGGAGAATAGAGTGACCACCAGCATATGTTATTGCAATAGCAAATAGTCTGATCAGTGTTCGTAACCCGAACAGACCAGTCCCCACAAGCAGCACCCGTTCACAAGTATGACGGATGAGGCAGCTATCTTTGCACTCAACCATATTAGAGGAAGCACATCGACCCGGCCCATCTGAATTGACGCTAGATTTGACATATTATAGAGTCAGTCAACGAAAGTAAAAGATTTCCCGTCCAGTCAGCGTCCCAGTGGCTACTCGCGGTCCATTTCCGCGTGGTAACAGCAGATTATATCGGATCCACGACCAGTACATCCGCGTGGATGGCACGCCGCCAACACTCATCCAGCAGTGTTGAGGAACTCCGCGCGATTTCAAAACATTACATATCGATCATCGTAATGTATTTATATCGAATTATATTTATATCCGAAGATATTTTGTTGTGTTGAGAATGAATTGTAAATATCTACTGAACGTGCTGTAATACGCGGTTTCTGCTGTGCGACTTTGAATATCTTTGCTCAGATCTGTTTCATTTAAATTTTATAAGAATACTAGCTGTTCCCGCGACTACGTCCGCGTGGAATTTGACTTTATTTTTCTAAAGTAAAAGTAGTCTAAAGAACTAAAAATTATTTTGTTCGACTAAATTTATTCCATTAGGTACTGATAGGTTCAAACTAATATATTTACATCCTGCATCATCTCTTATTTTACCCCCATGGGGGTTGAATTTATCAAAATCCTATTTAAGCGAATGTCTTCATCATGGTAGCTCCAATTTTTTATTTCAGTTCAATCAGTCGAAAATCTAAGAAGCTTTATACAAACTTTCATCCTCTATTTTATCCCCTTAGGGGTGGAATATATCAAAACACATTCTTAGGGAACGCCTACGTCATAGTAGCTTTATCCATGCAAAGTCTCAGTCCGATCGGGTTAAAATTGACAAAGTTTCATACAAACCTTCATCCCTTATTTTATTCCCTTGGGGGTAGAATTAATCAAAATCCTTTCTTAGCGGATGCCTACGTCATAACATCTACATACCTGCATGCCAAATTTCAGCCCGATCTGTCCAGTGGTTTGGGCTGTGCGTTGATAGTTCACTATGTCAGTCAGTCACCTTTGATTTATATATATATTTAGATATATTTTTATTTATTATTTCAGCAGATGTTAAAAAAATAAATGAATAACACACTAAACAAAAAATTGTTCAAAACATTGAACAACAATTACCAAAAAAAAGTTGCTTTACCATTTACAACAATACAAAATTACGTGTTAATTCCCCGGTTAACAGGTTAAACTGCAACGGTTATCGTATTGTCTCTGGCCCGCTGAAAACCCGACGTTGCAGGGTTGCTGTATAAAAATAATATTTTGGGCCACACATAGTACAACCTGAACGAGCCTGAACGAGCACTATCAATAGTTTCTTGAGTATTCTAAATGATAATTCATTTTAATTATTATATAAAAATGTTCACGTCTGTATGCAGGCTGAATACACTGGACGTTATATTTAATATTGTATACACATATAAGTACTGTACTCTGCGAATAAATGATTTGATTTGATAATTGTATATTAAAAATGCGTCCGATTTTTATTACGTACTGAAAATGTATACAAAAATATAAAATACAGACACAGTCACGTCCCGGGGGCTCTTATAAATACCGATGTTATATATTCACTAGTTACTCGCCCCGTCTTTGCATGGATGTACATGTATTATACATATAAACCTTCCTCTTGAATCACTCTATCTATTGAAAAAACCGCTTCAAAATCCGTTGCGTAGTTTTAAAGATTTAAGTATACATAGGGACAGATAGCGACAGCGACTTTGTTTTATACTATGTAATGATGATATAAACTATAACGGAGGAGTACAACGTCCAGGTGGAGTATTAAATTAATTAATTGTGCGTAAACAAAACAATGGAGAAAAAAATTGATGGTGTGCCAGCCGCCAGCCGCACCGCCAGCCGCCAGCCGCCAGCCGCGTGCCGGCTACAGTGAATGAATGACGGACGCGTGACGCGTGACCCAGGAAATACAAGTGTGACCATGCAAATGTACCACAACACCACAAGATCAATAATCTATACAAGTAAATAAAATTGTAGTGTCTGTTTGTAATATTGAAATAACCGTTTTTTACTACATGCTGTCGCTGTCTGTCCGTCTCTATGTATGCTTAAATCTTTGAAACTACGCAACGGATTTTGAAGCGGTATTATTTAATAGATAGAGTGATTCAAGAGGATGGTTTATATATATTTCATGATAGAGGACTACTGGCCGAAGGGTGTGTTGTACCGGCGCTACCGTGGCAGATTGCCGTCGTCAGTGCCGTGATCATAGAGACAATTTTATTTACACATTTTATTATTATTTGTTATGTATGTTAATCTATAAGGTATTTATAATATGGGCCATGTAGCCTGAATAAAATAAATACATAAATATATATATATATATATATATATAATACAGGGACCCGGCATCGCACGGATAACGTATCCTGCGAAGCCGGGGCGAGTAACTAGTTTTATTATATTATATTAAGTAGGAATACACTAACAGTGGTTACAAGTTGTCACTTTGTCTGATAAGTATACTAACAAAATGATATAAATACATATATACTAATAATTACTGATTAAACGAACTTACCTGGAAGTGAAGTTCTATCATAATTATGCTCGCTGCTTCGTCCGAAGAGATTAATGACCCACCCGACCCGGTTACTAGCCCCATGAAATATCATATGAATATATGATATGTTCTCTCAACTGAATGAAGCAATGAGGGAAACCAGTTAGTAATAACGACTCAAATACCTTAAAAAAAAGAAAGATTGCAGGTACCCAGGTACCCTACATCCGAAGCTCCGAGGAGGTGAGTGACCCGCGAGGGTGGGCGCGGAGTGGTCCCCGTGACCCGCACTCGGAGGCGGCTCCTTCATTGGAGAACGCGGCCGCGTCTCGGCCGAATGCGGAAGCGAACCCGAGACGTCGGCGACTAATCGTGTATGAGCGGAACATCGGGGGCTTTTGGTGGGTCGGGTCCCACAGTATTCGTCCGCACCCTTTCATAAAGGCGGACGTTTCGGTACTGTAACCTTTCCCCTCGAAAAAAAAAGATACCCTACAAATCTCAAATGACAGTGCGTGAAGGCTACACCGTACGTGTCACTACATGTATTCGAATATTAATCTCGAGGACGGCCCCCTCCGGTCGACCCCCGTCCAATTCAAACGGAGGCCGACGTTACGACGGCCTGAGCCGAGGTTCGAACCCCTAGTGGTGCCCTCAGACTAAAGTCGTATCCGTCAGGCGGGAGTTGGCCTTCACTCCATAATTCCATCCTTTGGTTTGGAGTGCCATGCTCGCCCCCTATCGTCCGGTGAAGCTGTAAAGGCCAGCTGCAGCCAACAGCATTAGAGTAGTCCGAAAAAAAAACTCGAGGACGAATCAGCGAGTATAATATAAATTTATATGCTATACTAGCCATTCATATAATTTTCCGGTTTCGATGACAATTCATAAAACGCACTATTGACTTGAAATTGTGTTTAGACTGTAGTTATACAGTGACTGTTAATTTAATAATAATTTATTGACTGTTAATTTAAACTGTTTATTTTTACAGTGACACACGAATTTTAAAATAAAACAGACAGAAATCCTCGCATTCTCTCTCATATTGGTTTGTGTAAAATTAAATACGAAATCATGCATTATGTTACATTTACGTTTAGTGTCATTGTAGGTTGCGAGCTCGGCCCGTGTCACCACCACTTAGATGACTACTTAGATCGTCCGATTTTGTAATATATATAAATAGACTGGCATTACAAAGCGTAGGTAGCGATATTTCTGTACTCAATACACGGGTACTTGACATCTGAAGCAGTTTTACGATGCCTGATGCGCTGCCAACTGTCCGCGGATCGCTCTCATCTCGCGGCCTATAATGCATATAAAACGGAGTCAGTAAACCTAAACCGACTGTACAAGATATATATAATAAATATTACTTGTGTGCCGTTCTTATTCATATCTAGCTTTTAACCGCGGCTTCGCTCGGATAACTTCATTATTGGCTGCTAAATGATGCTGAAGTAGTAAAATGTTGATAGTTTATTGTATTGTTTGTTTTTTTATAAAAAATATTTTTTTAATAAAATAAAATATATCCCACGTTCATTGTAATACCGCCGTAGTATTTGCGTGAAAGCGTAATAAAAATCCTTTTCATATTTATAACTAGCTGTACCCGCGACTTCGTCCGCGTGGAATTTAACTTTATTTTCCTAAAATAAAAGTAGCTTAAATTACTCCATCTGCTACCTGCTAAAAAACGTCTCGTCAAAATCGGTCCAGCCATTTCTGAGATTAGCCGGAACAAACAGACAGACAGACAAAAATTGAAAAAAAATATAATTTTAATATTATATTCATATGCATGTAGTAAAAACGGTTATTTCATTATTACAAACAGACACTCCAATTTTATTTACATGTATTAATATTAGTAATGATAATAAGGACACCAGTTTCTGTACTCGACTCACTTTGTACCGAATGCACTCTAAAAATATTACCCATTTTTTTGACTATCTGATATATATAAACAGTTGTTGATGCTCAAGTATGTCCTCGCCAATGTTTACAGAGTGCGTTTCCGTGTGGGATATTTCGGTACAAAAATATATTAATTGCTCGTGCAAAATAAATATTTTATATCATATTTTTAACAAAATAAACTATTTTATTTGATACTGCGACAGATTGCGATGATTTGACGATATTCACGTTCAAACAGAAATGAGATGTCTCACAATGTTAACATGTCCCCACACCTACCTGCTACCTACCATACATACATATTGTAAGGAGAATTGTGGGGACTGGTCTGTTCAGACTTTTTGATTTTACAATAGCATATGCTGGTAGTCACTCTATTCTCCTGCATTAGAATTTAAATTAATCTGTATTATTGTAAACATGTACAACATTTATTTGAAAAGAATACGAGCTGAGTTTCTTGTTAGTTCTTCTCATCTCGAAATGTGCTGTGTGTCGCGATTTTTCATTGGACTATCTAAAGACGAACGTTGAACAAGTCATACATATCCATTGACATCTCTGTAAACTAACTGACTTCTCTCTTACATAGCAATATAAATAAATAGCCAACCGATTATAATATTATATTTTATTCAAAATGACGGAGTGTTATCGTTATATTTCAACAATATCTTTATTTGTATTCATTGTATATCAAAATATGATGAAATATATGTATTAATATAAATATTTTTGGCTGGTCCCTGACTCTATGACCTGTCAGTAACATATGGTCAATTATTTTTAGAGTAACAACTTATTATCCGTTATTTCCGATGCATATATATTTCCTTAGCGCAGTCATCAGACCTTTCGAGTGGATGATACTGACGACCATTTTTGCCAACTGTATAGCGCTGGCGGTGTACACACCGTACCCGGCCAGCGATTCCAACTACACTAATTCAGTTCTGGTAAGTGTCCTCATGTCATAGAATAGAATAGATAATCATTTATTCAAATAAACTTAATTTTTGCACTTTTGAATAGTCATAATATTTTTTGTAATCTACCGCTCGTTCGGAAATCTGTCTCATCACAAGAAGAACGAGCATGAAACTTGTGTGTTGCTCTTTTAAATAATCATTGTAAGTTTACATTTCTAATTCGAAACATGTGTGAATACAAATCACCGACTAGCATTAATTCATTAGCCTCAGATAATAATAATAATAATATATATAATACCCATAGTCCTCTCATCTACAGGTATCATACCCAAACATAATCAACCTACATCACAGCCTGAAACAATTAAATATACAAAAGGCTGCCATCTTAAGTACCTGTCGTATAGTCCGAAAACTTCTCGAAATAGATGAAAAGGATAAAACACCAGTCACACCAGGCACACAATATATATATATATATATATAATCAAAATCATATAACATTGTCTATTAGGTGAATTAAAACACTATGACGAACGAAGTACTGATTAATATTTTTGCTACATACGAGGATATGACTGGCGGAAAACAGGACGTGTAATGGGATTACTGTTGACTGTGATAAATGACGTGCAATCTATGTATGTACATAGACACGTTTAATTCATACAACTCACACGTCACATTTCACTACAATGGTTCCAGTAATAAGAACGCGTACAACACCATTCCTCCTTTCTATACTAGCCGTAAATCAGATTTATTTATCATATGAACGATATGCAAATCTCCTCCGATCATTCCCACGTCCAATTCAAACGGGGATCGTAATCACGACGGCCTCATCCCAGGTTCGAACTCCTAGCGGTGTCCTCAGTCTAAAGTCATATCCGTCCGGCGGGAGTTGGCCTTCAGCAGCTCCGTAAGTCCTTCCTTAGGTATGGATTGCCATCTGTACTCGTCTCTTATCGTTCGGTGAAGCTGTAAAGGGCAGCTGCGGCCAACAGTATTAGAGTAGTCCGAAAAAAAAAGATATAGCAAAACAACAGTTTCCAGTGTTTTGTTGGAAATTAATTATGTTAACTTGTTTATTTTCTATGGTACAGGGGAGTTACCTTTTAGTACATAACTCAAAGTTCATACGGTAGACTGCCAGCATAGACTCGGGATAATATAATTAAATTTAAATGTCCGTTAAATATGTGATGTACAATTTATTTATCGCTCTTTAAAATGCCTTAATTGTATGTTTTTGTGATAAATCATTTTCAATTTCAACGACACGAGAGTTGGATGTAATTAAGGTCTTGTAACTTTAAATAAATTATGATTCACGACTTCATCCCAACCAGGGGAGACGTTGGCAATTCTATTATATTTATCATTTAAAAGTTAGCTTATACAAAATGCAAGCGAAGGAAAAGTTGTGTCGGGGGACGAGTAGACAGGACGCCGACGTGGACCGACCCACACAACCCGCACGCCTGCCACCTGACACTCACGGAGCCCTACGATAAACACTCATAAGTCTTAAACATTCCTACAACTGCTTTTCACACTGAATGAATTATTAAAATGTTCATAATTCCTTGAAATTAACAGTGTATTGTAATAAGATAAATAAACTAAAACAAAAAAACATCTATTCAAAAGAGCAACACACAAGTTTCTTGCTCATTGTTCTTGTGATGGATCTGCGTTCCGAATGAGTGGTAGAATAAAAAATATGTTATTGAAAGAGCTTGTATTGAGTTTATTTGAATAAAGATTACTTCTATTTCTATAAACTCATTAATAATTAATTTAAATTTTTTTTACCGAAATTATACTTATCCAGAAATTGTACATTTGCAGGAGAAGATCGAGTACGTGTTCCTGGTGATCTTCACGGGGGAGTGCGTGATGAAGATCATAGCTTACGGCTTCATCATGCACACCGGCTCCTACCTCAGGAACGGGTGGAACTTACTCGACTTCACCATCGTCGTCATTGGGTAATCTGATATTCTTTAACTCTAGCAGTTCATGTCAACATGTGTACACTCAAAAAAAAATTAATAGAACCAAAACTTGAATAATATGGTATCCTCATACTCCATACCTCATGCTTTGTATATATTGTCATCATCACTTTAAAGCTGCTGCTACCTTTGGCAGCGTGCTTGCCATTTCAACCTTAAAATATCTGTGAGACTTTGATAATAACCAGTTTTCTAGTAATAACAAAACATCATTAATAGGTCCAAATATGTTCTGCTAAAATTACTGAAGCTACACTATGAAGAATCGTTTGTTAACTATACTATGTTAGTGATGTCACTCTGCGTCTGGTAACAGTTTCAAACAAGTGATGATGGTGACATGCAAAATTGTGACGCGTATCGTCGTTACATCATTGTGATTACATCATCCGTGTTCATCCGCATTCCCGATCACTGAAGCGTACGGCTCTTATCTTGCCGATTACACTTACAAACTGGCGATTTTCCGCTCCGTTACGTGGCATCTCCTCTTAACTTTAATATCTTTTAAACTCGGTGAAGATATTTCTATTACATGCCGTACTTAATGTGCAGAAGATTGTAATTATTTTTCATGGCGGCGTAGCGCAGTAATAGTGACGTCTACATATGATTGTCTATAATATATGGACAAACTTTTTTGTATGTTATATACTTTGTCCTGGGCTTCTATTGTAGAGTAACGATGCATCATAAATTTCAATTTCGACAACAGCTGAAACATGATCATCATCATCATCCTAGATCTTGCCATCATTTACCATCACATAAGGTAAGACCAAGCGCAATCCCTATTAATAAAAAAAAATGCAATTAAAAGGCTGCAGAGTTCAGTACATGAGTGTATCTTGTCTTGTTTCCAGTATGGTAAGCACGGTGCTGTCGAGTATATTCAAAGACGCGTTCGACGTGAAAGCGCTGCGAGCCTTCAGGGTGCTGCGGCCGTTACGACTCGTCTCCGGTGTGCCTAGTAAGTACATTTTAATTAAATTAACAATCCAATGTATATTTATAACGCTGTTTTGTTTATTAGAAATAAAAACTGGATGAAAGTATACTCAGGATGAAATATATAAACAATGCAAAAGATTATACATATGCTAACTTATCATGATCAGATTGCTTAAATCATCCTTAGACCAGGAGAAAAGTAAAGAGCTGTTGTAAGTACATTCTGTGGCGTAGTGTATAATCCCTGCCCTGTGCAATTATTACACAAGATTTTCATTTTACAAAACTTAGCAGAATGTAAACGATACAAAACAAACAAAAGCTGCTCAGGTTTACTGTAACTACGTATCGTATGCTAATGTAAAAATATAAATAAGGGAATGTGTGTCTGTAATGTAATTATTTGTCAGGTCTACAGATAGTGCTGAACTCTATATTGAAGGCGATGATTCCGTTGCTGCACATCGCGCTGCTCGTCATATTCGTGATCATCATCTACGCTATCATCGGCCTCGAACTCTTCTCCGGGAAGATGCATAAGAGTTGTTACAATAAGTTTACAAGTAAGAATAATTATTATATATTTATCCATTATAAAGCTCACGAATTAAAATACTTCAAACGTAATTAATAAGTTAATGTCTGTTCGTATAAATTTTGACGACGAAATTGAAGCACTCACTGAAAACAATAAGGAAACATGATTCATTTCAGTTGGCTTTACACTGTGAATTCATCCATTAGTTAATGAACTACAAAACGAATTCAGAAACACAGTAACTAATATAAAACAGTACTATTTTGCAGTCTATATTTGATCTCATAAATGTCCATGCAAACGCGGCGAGGTCGCAGTATTGGTTAATAAATAAATATTAAGTTGTAAAAATGCTTACCGACTGAAACGTATTCTTTGCAGATGAGATCATGGACTCCCCACATCCGTGTGACTTGGACAACGGGTTCAACTGCTCCAGTATAGGCGAGGAGATGGAGTGCAGAGAGGGTTGGATAGGCCCCAATTTCGGTATCACCAACTTTGATAACTTCGGCCTGTCCATGCTCACAGTGTTCCAGTGCATCACGCTGGAAGGATGGACTGACGTTATGTATAATGTTAGTATTTCTGTTTTAGAATTTATGTCACTTTCAAATAAAACTCCATCATTAATTCAACCATTTATTTTGCACTGCAGAAAATAAGGCTGCTAAAGAACAAACCTAAATTAGCTAAGTCCATTAAGGGATTAAACAGTTTTGGGGTTATCCTTTTATCTAGTGGAAAAGAGTTATCCTACTCGTACATTGTACAGATTTGCATTATTAAATATTTTTCTTTCATAATTGATTCTTCGAGCTACTTTCCCACTTTATAGGCAATACAAAGTTTTCTAAAAATAATATTGTCAAAGGATTGACCTTCTAATTGGATTCAGCCATACAGGTAGTTTACAACATATCTAAGGACAAACTATGAGGAGAGGCGAGTTTGAGACTCACCGTTAGAGTCCCAAAGTCAAAGACAATAGAAGGCTGCTTTATTGTTGATGTACATATTACAGGCGCTCATGTCTGTCATGTCTTTCAGATACAAGATGCGATGGGCAACAGCTGGGAGTGGATATATTTCGTTTCAATGGTCATCTTGGGAGCATTTTTTGTTATGAACCTTATCCTCGGTGTGTTGTCTGGGTGAGTACGATACAATTACCATAATATTTACCCACTTCTCCGATCGACACATATATATTTATTATCAGTTCGGCCAGGGTCGTGGGTAGTATATTAAAATTGGTGACCGTCTTACTGTTTTCAAAATATCTAGTGAGTTCTCCAAAGAGAGAGAAAAAGCGAAGAACCGTGGCGACTTCCAGAAGCTACGGGAGAAGCAGCAGCTGGAGGAGGACCTGAAGGGCTACCTCGACTGGATCACGCAGGCCGAGTACTTGGAACCGCTCGCTGACCAGCACGACGCTGTCGACCAGAAGAGAGACTATGGAATTGGTCAGTAATATGAATTATTTATATGATTACTGTAATCGTACTATTTATTTATTTATGTTGATTTGCACCATTATGACATAGACATTTTCCTTTTTTACAACAGGCTTCTTATTTTATTTTTTTATTGACATAGTATGAGGAAAAGAGCTTTGAAGTTTTAATTTCGACGTTGTTTGAACTAATGAAATTATTTTTTTGTCGTGAACGTTTTGACGTTCTTTTTTATGGATGATAATGGAATGGTGCACCCGTCTGCGCTAACGGTTTACGCTGGTGCCCCACCAGTGGAAAATGATAAGATGAACATGAAGTCAGGTCAGTTATAATTTCTTGGTGAATTTCTCACGATGGTTTCCAGGGGGAAGCGCATGGAGGTCAACCTGACATGGTACATTGCTAGCAATAAGATCATCAGTTCACATTACTAACTACTACTAACTATACTAACTACTACTAACTATTACTAACTACTACTAACTATACTAACTACTATTTAATGTTTGGTAAAATATGGGTACGCCCGTTGTACAAATTGTACATGTTTCCAAAGTATGCATACAGGGTGCGGTAAAGAATTTTAGAGATTTAAAAGGGGGTTTGCAGTTAGCCCTTGATTATAAATTTACGAGCGATATAATTTTTCTGTAGCACTAAATGGTTGTGTAAGTGAGTACTATTACTATATAGATTAGATCCTGCCGTACTTGTCTCTTTATAATTTTATGGAAGTATGTACCTACGTTATTATATCTATGTTTTATGTGTGATATTTATGAGATACAAATCTAATATATGTAATATTTATTTATTTATTTCAACAGGACCAATGCCGAACGAACATGATTCCACAGATCATTTAGGTATAGAAAATAATGAGCAACAAAAGATATCTATTGGGAAGTTATGGAAGAAAGATTTTGATAAAGTAAGCATATTTATACAAACAATAATATTGAAATACAACAGATATATAAAAAGTTTAATCATATTCTATCAAAGAATGGTTTCAAAATGACTAAAGGAAATAATATGTACGTAGCTGCTAATGTTTATGAAAAAAGTGAATGTTGAAGTATTATTTCTACAGATTATTTAAAGTCGAAAATAATTAAAAGCAAATTAATTTGGCCGTGGATTTTAACGATAGAATATAAATATATGAATGAAGTAATAGATTATGTTGTAGTTTGTTGTTAGGCGTACTCTGTGATGTGATGTGATGTGTGCACTACACTGAGTGTGTCCGGTAACCCAGTGTGGTCGTGTTGCGTTGTGCAGGTGAACCGTCGCATGAAGCGGGCGTGCCGGCGCGCGGTCAAGTCGCAGACCTTCTACTGGCTCATCATTGTGCTCGTGTTCCTCAACACGGTGGTGCTCGCCAGCGAACACTACCAGTGAGAGCCGCCGCCGCCTTATTACAATCCGATTCAATTTCATCAACACTATAATTTAAATTAACTTCTTGGAAAAGTTTTGCATCATCTTCTCATCTCTCTTATCAACTGTTGATACTTATTATTATTATTATAATAATTGTAATACTGTTGTACTTAGTATTACAATTATTCAATCGTTTTTCATGATAATCTCGTACTATGTCGTATTTGCAGGCAGCCGCCATGGCTGGACCACTTCCAAGAGTACGGGAACGCATTTTTTGTTGCATTATTTACGTTAGAAATGTTAGTGAAGATGTACAGCTTAGGTCTACAGGTGAGCTGAACCATTGTACAATAAGAATGAAAGAAAGAAAGAAAGAAGAATGAAAAGAAATTTATTGTTGAATGTGTTATCATTGGCAGTAAATCTATCTAGAGGAAATAGAAATAATCTTTATTCAAATAAACTTAATATAAACACTTTTGAATAGTCGAGTTCTTTTATTCATTTGGAATGCAGACTCATCACAAGAAGAAATATTATGTATTGACTTCATTAATGTTGATATGTTTCAGGGATATTTTGTGTCTCTTTTCAATCGCTTCGATTGCTTCGTTGTGGTGGGATCTATTAGCGAGATGGTGCTCACAAAAACTGAGGTGATGCCCCCGCTCGGCATCTCCGTGCTGCGCTGCGTGCGGCTGCTGCGGGTGTTCAAGGTCACCAAGTGAGTACATATCCAATGTGACCAACACCAACTTACCTAGTGCAGACACACTGGGTGTGTTCGAGGGACCTGGCAAACAAATTAAAAAAATATATACAATGTATATAATTTCATATGATGTATACATATAACGTATATCTGTACTATGCATTAATTACTCATTTTTTTGTATGATTTATATTTCATCCTTTTACTAATTTACTATAAACTTTGATAAATATCAGGTACTGGCGCTCTCTGTCCAACCTGGTGGCGTCGCTACTAAACTCTATCCAGTCGATTGCGTCCTTGCTGCTGCTACTGTTTCTGTTTATCATGATCTTCGCGCTGCTCGGCATGCAGGTGTTTGGTGGAAAGTTTAACTATGACCCCGTCGAAGAAAAGGACAGACATAACTTTGATTGTTTTTGGCAGGCGCTACTCACTGTGTTTCAGGTAAACTGTGTAACATTGTCTATGTATTTTGATCTTATATCTAAAGTATTTAAATTATATTATCTATACTACTCTCTTTTAGATATTGACAGGCGAAGACTGGAATGCAGTAATGTATGAGGGCATCAAAGCTTACGGTGGAGTGGGCTCCTTTGGAATACTTGCCTGCATCTACTTCATTATACTTTTCATTTGCGGCAACTGTATCCTTTAATAACACCACTTGTTTCGATCTCGTTCTCAAATCAAGGGTCAATCTCAATTTATTATTAAAACATTCTAATATTGTACAAATTATCAATTTCTATACTTTATAGAATTATTAATTTTCTTAACAAATGTATGTAGATATCCTACTAAATGTGTTCTTGGCTATTGCTGTGGATAACTTAGCAGATGCAGAATCGTTGACCAATATTGAAAAAGAAGAAGGGGTATGTCTTTTAAAAAGCAATAAAATATTAAAAAAATATGGAAAAAAATAACTGGTAAGAAAACCAGTATAAAAGACTAAATATTCATTAATTTATTTCTAGGCTGTGGAAGAAAAAGATGGAGGCAGTATAATAGCAACAGAAGGTGGACATGTGGACACTGACGACGAGTACATCCATGATGATGACGCATACACTACAGACAAGTAAATACTGCATCTTTGTAACTACGGTATTATTGCTAATTATTTTAATTTAAAGAATGATACATGATTCCACATTTATTTTAGCTCTGATAGAGAATACGAAGAAACAGGTTCTGAAGGTGAACAAAATGACGAAATAGAAGGTGAAGTCGAGGGCGAAGGTACAGAAGATGACGTTGGAGGGGAAAGAGTTGAAGATGAACAGGAAAGAGAAGAAAATCAAGAAATGATGGAAGGCCACCAGAGGAATCATATTGGTATGAATATATTACAAGTTAGTAATAACTAGAGATATTAAAATCCAGAAAAAAATTAAGTTATGAGTTTACCTGAATTACATACTTTTAACTACTTTTTTTGTTGTGACGATTTATTACAGGTTTTAAAAGCTTTTATAATAATTACATAAAAATTTGATACTATAATTCCATAGTATCAAATTTGTTATTCTTACATGGTGTGTTGGATATGTTTAATGTAACAGTTGAAGGATCTAGTTAAAAATAATATGTATATACTCGTACTGATAATGCTAGTAGAAAGTTTCGATGGCTAACCAACCCAAAACAGTGAATACAGAGATGGACGAAGAGCCCCGTCTGAAACGAAAGCCTACAACGTCGTCAGCTCGGCCCCGCCGCCTCTCGGAGGTCGATATACACGACACTAAGAAACCCATCCCCGACGCCTCGTCATTCTTCATATTTTCCAAAAGCAACAGGTTAGGGTACAGGAGCAGCGGCAGATGATATTTGAGCTTCCACTGAATTGTCTAGATGTTTATTTACATACTTTTTATATTTATTTATTACAATAATAACGATCTGTTCTTGTGAGCTCATTACAATAATTAAATTGAAGTCAGTTTATGTAGTGCGATCAAGATCAGATCCAGTAAATATTTTACGCCTCTCGTCTTTCTCAAATTTAATATTTTCATAATATTATTTTTACGTAATTAATATAATTTTTTACACAATTACTAGTAATTTCACTGTACTTATGTTTGCATTACTCATTTATTATAAAGAGGTTGAAAAATAGTCTCAAATCTGTAGCGTATTATAGGTCACGCAGAATTATAAATGTAGGTTCTATTCATTAATTAAGCTACTTGCGGCATGTTTTTATTAGGTAGAATAATATTAGGTATTACCAAGGTAGTTTATTTTCTATGTGCATAATAAGCAGGATATAATGTAAGCAAAACGTCTATCGTCGTTTGTTTCTATCTGATAAAGATGGCGGTCAGTCAGAAGAGGAGGGAACACTGGTAACAGCCAGACCACGGCGTGTTTCAGAACTGAACATGCCAAATCAGACGCCGCCAATACCGAACGCTAGTAGTTTCTTCATATTCTCACCAACGAACAGGTGATTGGTGAATGGTGGTCTCTCCACGTGGTACCCGTGTCTCATTGTGAACCCAATTGGCAGAGTGTGTTGTCGAATACAGCCTTACAGATTGGCCTATCATTCCATTCATCATCCCAACAGCAACATTTGTATTTACAACGTCATTAGCGTCATCGACATGTACACATTTATCACCATTTGTGTTGTGTACTAAATGTGCACGTGTGTTGTGCTGTAACACGTTCAGTGTCTGCAGTGAACGTTGTAAACGTATTAGCAATGAGAATCCTGGGTACCCGATATCTGTCTATAATCCCTCTAGCGGATAGGTTTGTTTAGATCTCAGTTTTCGTTGGCTCTGGAGCATGATCCTTTAGGTGGAGCCACTTAGAGGCCGTTAGTTACCTTTATTTTATGTTTCTAGAAGTCATCGGAAGTTTAGCACGTTGCATGCCGTTAGAGATTTTATTTTTGCTTTGATATATTTTGCATGGCCTTGTTGTGTATTATAATGTATTTGTAATTTGATTTATATACAGTTTCTGAATTGATTGATTTCTATAATATTTTCATAAATAAATAAATATACCCACCAGAGGCTGACTAAAAATATAATAATATTTTATCTACCGTAAATGATTTTAATTGAACTCGATCTGAAGCCTGAACTTATTTTTTACTTTATTCACTTTAATGAAACAGTTATATAAATAAATACTACAACACTTACAAAATGCACCGCACTTTAAATTATTTAACACTCCTCCGCTTGTACATGTTGATGCATGTTACTACGTACATATATTATAGTTATTGTATGTATGTGTACCAATTTATAAATAAAACGTGATATATTGCAATAATATTAATACTAAATTAAATATATGTTCATGTAAATTAATTTACTCGTGAAGTAAGAGTGTGGTATCATGTGGATGGGTGGTGACCGTCGTGTGGTGTGGTGTGGCAGGTTCCGCGTGCTCTGCTACAAGTTGTCGGCCTCCTCGCCGTTCGGGAATATCATCCTGGTATGCATCATGTTCTCGTCGGCCATGCTGGCGGCTGAGGATCCACTCGATGCAGCACAGAAGGGGTTTCGAAATTGGGTCAGTGTAATTTTGTGTTTAGTGTTGTAAGTAATATTGGCTAGTAGTCTATTTTAACTATGAATCCATCTTACGTGTACATCACGTAATCTCCGGAACTTTGTAATATTATATAATGTATAGTCGATAGTGTAATCTGAAAATTAATTAGAGATCCCCCATGAAATACATTATAAAAACTACCAAATAACGAGCATAATAGGGTTTTGATAAATAAGTTTTTTTTTAATTCATGCAGATAAGTAATACAATTATATCTTACTCAGTAAATAATTAAGAGACAGCTGTATCTTTTTTAAATTTTATACTTCATGTGATGGTGTGGACATGTTGAAATAGATGCAATATAATAAAGTGTTACTTTCCAATGACAGAATCATGTAATGTCGGTAATATATGTTTGAAGATATATAATTTATGTGCAGTTGTTAAGTCAATTCGACGTGTTCTTCACGGGCATATTCACCCTGGAGCTGTTCCTGAAGCTGGTGACGTACGGCCTGATTCTACACCAGGGTGCCTTCTTGCGCTCCGCATTCAACGTGCTCGACATGCTCGTCGTTTGCGTCTCACTCATCTCTATGAGTTTTAAGTGAGTCTACAATTCGCTTATTATACTTACTCGACCATGGAACTGAGTATTGTGATTTGTGATCTGTATGGATATTGTGTAATGTTTCAGGTCTGGTAGTATATCGGTGGTGAAAATATTGCGAGTATTCAGGGTGCTGAGGCCTCTTAGGGCTATTAATAGGGCCAAAGGCCTTAAGGTTAGTCATTATTCGTTATTCTTAATTCTTGATCCTTCTAAATATTAGTGTTATAAAATTTGATTGTCTTAATAGGTCGTAATGTCTGTAATATAATATAATGTAGGACAGGCTAGTTTCAATACGCCGTATTGTTTTATTTGTCTTTAAAATATCAACTGTTTTCCATGATTATAGCACGTTGTTCAGTGCGTGATCGTTGCAATCAAAACTATCGGCAACATTTTATTGGTAACGTCCTTACTGCAATTCATGTTCGCGGTCATGGGAGTGCAAATGTTCAAGGTAGGGGGCGTTTTCTTCAGTACATTTACACCTTCGCATTTACACCTCGTCGGAGGCTAAAGCGGTCTCTAGTCTATTAAGAGACGAAAAGAAGTTTCACGTGTGGCAACACGAGTTGGAGTTAATACACAACAATCTTTTCTAAATTCACGTCTATATTGATCTGATCTACAAGTTTTATAAGTACACCTTACACCTTTGGGTATACAGATATTTCTTTTTATTTCCTTTCCTCGACAATTCTTTTCTAATTCTATCCGCTACACTCATTTCTCATGATTTCTGTTATAAGTTCTATTTTATGATATATTTATATATTTGAGAATATTTAAAGGAAGCTTTTGCCATTGTTATCCGTTTAGCTTAACTAACTTTTGTGCTATCTTAAATATATGCTCAGCTTTCGGTATAATATATTTACCTACAAAGCTTTGCATTTTTATCGTACAACTAAGGTACTGTATTTAATCGACCAATCGTAGCTCAGGCGCGCTCTCGTCGATCATCTGTGGTCATCATGAGTTGTGTACGCCTATCTCCGCGGGTAGTCGTGCCCGTTGGTTGTCAATGTAAATAATTATTAATGAAATGTACTTTTTCCATATCAATATAGCATAATATTTAGACAAACTGTGTCATAAGTGTTAGAGAGTGTAATAGTTAGTAATTTGTTCAGTGTTATTAGAAGGTAAACTAAAAGCTACAGCATGTGGTGCGGCGTGAACGTGTAGATATAGGATTACTACGTCTAGATCCTTTAGTTATTCATGCTCCTAATCCAAAGTTACGTTAGATGTCGTCTTAATTAGGTGAAGCATGTCATCATTAACTTTATCGTTGAACCCAAAGGTGTAGTAAACATGCAAACCTTTACATAAACCTTTGCGTATAACCATACCCCTACCTTGGCGTTTACTTATATTCTCAGTAGGTTATCTAACAGGTTTTATCTTGCCCTTTCCAACCGTCGCTAATACTGGTAACATAGATGAGGTCCCCACTGCGTCCCATGTAAACGAGTCCCGTGTGATTAAAATGGTTTGCTTGTCCCCCTATGTCCCGCCGCTGCGTGCCGCACCGGACTATTGTGGACTGTCCCTGCCCCGGTAATGTATCGCCTGCAACTAACGAACTTCCGTAACACAGTATGTGGTCAAATGTGTGATAGTAGCGATTAAGACAATAGGAAATATAATGCTAGTTACTTATTTATTACAATTTATGTTCGCTGTCGTCGGTGTACAGTTGTTCAAGGTGAGCTTCTGTTGGTGGATCTTGAGACCTTCTAACGGCGCCCTCCGTGCATAGACCATGATCAATTTCTTAATGTTTCTCTGATGTCAAATATTGAATACCAACTTTTTTAAATTAAAATATATCGATTTTATTAACATGATTTGTCAGAATATTTGTTATCTGTAATTGTGGGGTATCGTTGCATTTATCAGTGAAAGGTTTTAGAAGGTCTCGGTCAGCATGACTATGTAGTTGTTTATTGACATGTTGCTACTCATTGTAATGTTTGTCGTTCTGTTCATGAACATGCCGCATGCGATAGTGTTGTGTCATTGTTACCACATACATATCATGTTCAACATTTTGGTAAAGTGGAGGGATACCTATTTGGTGTATATTTGTAATGCTTGTTATGAAGACGTGCATCATGAGAAATGAGTTCACAACCTGAAGGTCTCTCTACACGTACGTTTTATAATTTAATTCATTATATTAAGTTTTCTTAATGTTAAAGCATTACGTAAATGTTGCATGTTTGTTCATTACCATCTATCAACGAACTACTTTATTTTACAAGTATTAAGAGATAATTTGTTTCAGGGTAAATTTTTTAGTTGTAATGATATATCGAAAATGACAAAAGACGAATGTCAGTAAGTACACTTCTACACTTTTAGTGTTATATACGAATAGTGTTACGTTATATTTGTACAGTTTAACAAAACATTGTTGGTTATTTCAGAGGGACTTATTTAGTATTTGAGAATCGTAATTATGTAGTAAAAGACAGAGAGTGGAAGAGGTACGACTTCCACTTTGACAATGTGATGAAGGGGATGCTCACTCTGTTTACGGTGTCCACGTTTGAAGGATGGCCAGGGTGAGTCAGTGTTACACGACAACAGACAAATATACAATATGTGTTATACATTGAAATTTAAATCATAACAAGTTATAGTAATGAAAGTTATAAAATTAGGCGACAAACACAAACTCGAATAGAGCACATAAAAGTATTTATAATGCAATAAATGGAGGACTGAGGAGGTTACAAAATTGTTAAATTTCCTAATTTCTGTGCATCAAATGCACAGAAAATAGCAGCTGTCCAGTAATTGTAATAGCTTGCAGATACAGACAGAGTGACCAGCAGCATACGAGCAGCACCAGGGTCACCAAATAGAGCTAAAGCTCTATCAACTGATAAATAATTTAATAATAATAAATCCATTTATTGCCAGTATAGTTATATAGTTACACATTTATACATATTTAATATGATTGGCAATAGGTACAAAACCAGCTATTGCTGGACTGATGGGCGTCCAGCGCTGGTTTTCAGTTTGTACCAGCAAGATGTATCATGATGTATCATTAGTGAACTAGCCAGATGACTAAGTTTATGAGTCTTATCTAATCTAATCTAATCATTTTATCTTTTGTTGTGTGTTGTAACTGTGTTGTGCGACTGTCCAGTGATCAGTGAAGTGAGCTGCGTGTGTGCGTGTGTGTGTTGCAGGTTGTTGTACGTGTCTATTGATTCCAACGCGGAGGACCGCGGCCCCATCACCAACTTCCGTCCAATTGTTGCAGCCTACTACATTATTTATATTATTATTATTGCCTTCTTTATGGTACGTACCACATTACGAGTTGAGTTTCTTGTCAGTTCTTCTCATCTCGATATCATTCCGAACTGACGGTAGATTTGACATATCATAAGAGTCTGTAATAGACCTACATGAATAAAGATATTTTGAATTTGAATTTGAATTTGAATTACTGTACTGTACTGTACTGCTATTACTAGTGCGGGCCGCGAGCGACACCACCGCTTTATACATACTCGACGCCCACGACCCGCTCGTACTCGGCTGTTCACTTGCTAATTAGGAGTTATGTGCCATCATCGTAGTATAAAAAAAATATTCAAATAATATCGCTCGTGCACAGTCACAATATATTATTATATGCATATGTTTAAATTCAAATAAAGTGTTTATTACTGATGTCCTGGCACTTCATATAACTTATATACGCATTTGTAGGTAAATATATTCGTCGGTTTCGTCATAGTGACATTTCAAAATGAGGGTGAACAGGAGTACAAGAACTGTGAGTTGGACAAAAACCAGAGGAATTGTATCGAGTTTGCATTAAAAGCTAAACCTATCAGAAGGTAAATATTATATACTAGCTCACCCGCGCAGCTTCGTCTGCATCACACTTACTTGATATTTATCATTATATTTCACCCCACTAACATAATATCTTTTTAAATTATAGCCTATGTGTTATTCAGGTGTACAAGCTACATTACTGTAAAGTTTCATTAAAATCTATTCAGTAGGTTTCGCCTGAAAGCCACACACAGTCACAAACTCGCGTTTATAATATTAGTAAGATTTGTATTATAAATATTGCACGGAACACCGTACTATAATAATCATATATATAAATTATATCACTTACGTAGCATATATCATTTCACTACACATATATTACTATACGAGACAATAAATCATCGTGTAACATCGAGTGCTCACTACGGGACGTATCTTTTATTTATCATCCCCGTAGATCATCAATTATCATTATCAACAAGTGTAGGAACAACCCCTACAGATATAAAACATAAAAATTTTATAAAATCAAAACGCTACATAGAGCTTCACAAATGTTTGGGTGCTACTTGGGTACATCAACATAACGAAGACTGCTTTCAATACGACTAAGTTTCCGTACACGAGTCTTTCATCCAAAAGGTTTAAACTCTTGTTAGGACCATATTCATTACTTTATGTCAACACTGATGATGACTTTATATGCAAACACTATTACATTTGTATAAAATGCGGTGTACCTTATAATGTTTGTCAGCTAGTGTGTGTGAGCGTGATTGTGTGTGTATGTGTGCAGGTATATACCGAAACACCGCATCCAGTACAAGGTGTGGTGGTTCGTGACGTCGCAGCCGTTCGAGTACGCCATCTTCGTGCTGATCATGATCAACACCATCACGCTCGCCATGAAGTACCACAACCAGCCCACCGACTACAGCAAGGCCCTCGACATGCTCAACATGATATTCACGGCCATATTCGCGCTCGAATTCATATTCAAGCTCGCTGCGTTTAGGTTTAAGGTGAGCCATGGAGACGTCCATCATACCCTAACGAAGGAAACCTAGTGTATACCGTATACACTAAATATAACGTTCTGATTCAAATAACACTGATAATACTATTTCTTCACTATATTATTTTTTAGAAAAATATATTCTATATTTGATCAACTTAAAGAATAGATGTTAATTCAATGTTTTTTTTTCTAATGACTAATATGATCCCTGGCTCATTATACAGCGATTGTATGGGCTCATAATGCACATGAATTTAATAGTCATATCAAATAGTTGCAGGAAATATAAAGTAAGAAATGAAGAAGTATTGCACAGGCTGAAAGAAAAAGGCACATTTTGAATGGTATTTGAATGGTATAGAAAGTAGACGAGGGAAAATGTTAAGGCACTTGATACGGCACGATGAATTTATGAAAGTAATTATTGAGGGAGAGATAGAACGAAAGAGGGGGAGAGGAAGACCAAGGCACAGCTATATCAAACAAATTAAAGACAGAATTGGAGTCGTGTCGTATCAACGCTTAAAGAGTATGATGGAAAATCGTAGAAAGTGGCAAGAGCTCCACCGACAAGAGACAAGCTCTTAAGTTTATGAATGAATGAATCAGATAGTTGTTGTTTAACTCTAATACACATAGCTCTAGCAGTTCAAACATTAGAGAATCAATGTCTAAATAGTATACATAAAGTGAATCTTATTAATTTGTACGTTTTGTTTGTACAGAATTATTTCGGCGACGCGTGGAATACGTTCGACTTCATCATCGTGTTGGGAAGCATCATAGACATCGTGGTGTCGCAAGTAAACGAACTCAAGAACCAGGTACCGATCGCAATCACGCACTCGTATACAACAAACACCACGACAGTTATAGCAACACGTTCACTTGGATAGATACTGTCTCATTCGGGAATAGCCAAACTGCCACTGTCACCACCCAGTTTACGATGTTCAACTATCGAGTACAAATTTTGTTATGTTCCTTATGGCGTCAGTTTGGCTATTTCGTAATGACCACAGAACAGTTACTGTCTCGAGCATGGACAACATAGATGTCGTAATAACAGCAAATGCTAAAGCTATCTCACTTTAGATCTGTTTCTAGATACAGTTTCATTTGAAGGACTTAATGCTGATTTCAGGGCAGTGGAATGCCAAGAGCGCATGTTGTCAAGGTAAGTTGGAGCTTTCACGCGGACCCTACAATACATAGAACACGATCACATGCAGAGTAATTTAACAATAGGACGCTTCATACTGAAACGTATTGGACTACGTGTTGTAATTAAGTCACATAATCAGAAAGAGTCGGGGCGGCTTTAGATGTTGTATGACATGACTCCAATAAATCAATTAAAACTCAAGCTTTTGATGTACATACAATAGGCATTAAATATGGGACAGTAACGCAATGAACCTTAGCCGGATGAACCATAAGGCACATCGCACCACCCACCGTACTTACTGCACTTGATATTAATGCAATCTGTGAATCCGTCGTCAATGTTGTTTATATCTTGCAAACAAAAATATGACAATATTATTTTTAATTTTAGCAAGTCAAAACGATAAATGTATAGTAGACACAAGTGACATATCAAAGTAGGAGACTCAAGAATTGGGTGTAAGGATAAAACTTGTACTTATGGTTCTAGTAATTAAGAATATATCTTTTTCAAATTCATTAGAATTACTTACTGAATATATAACACAATTATAATATATTAAATTAAACTCATTGATCAATAAAATGATAAGATTGACGAAATAAGAAAGGGTTCTAAAATTTTTATTTTATTCATTTGTGCTTGAATCTAGACTATTACTTCTGCTATTACTTTCTCATTACTTTTCTCTAAAATTAACTGACATGATTAATCATTTGATGTGGACATTCACAGGAGAGCTCGATCCCGTCGATCAATTTCTTCCGCCTGTTCCGTGTGATGCGGCTGGTGAAGCTGCTCTCCCGGGGTGAAGGTATACGGACGCTACTGTGGACCTTCATCAAATCATTCCAGGCACTGCCTTACGTCGCCTTGTTGATCCTCATGCTGTTCTTCATCTACGCAGTTGTGGGCATGCAGGTACTCACGACGTTGTATTAGTTATAAAGTCTATTACAATTGAATTATTTACTGCAATAGTTGGTCAATCGGTAACGTCATAAATTGATCATATTGATGTCATCTCATTGCAGGTGTTTGGTAAAATAGCAATAGACGACGAGACGCACATAACAAGAAACAATCACTTCCAAACGTTCCCGCAAGCCATACTCGTGTTGTTTCGATCAGCAACAGGTAACATCAACAACCTATGTCAAAACAACAATGATTTAGTCAATTTAATTCACTGGTCACTGCTCGTTCGTTGGTGTGTTGCGCAGGCGAGGCGTGGCAGGACATCATGATGGGCGTGTCCCCGGAGCCGGACGTGAGGTGCGACCGCAACTACGACGAGGAGGGCGAGGAGGGCTCCGGCTCCTGCGGCAGCGTGCTCGCCTTCCCCTACTTCATCTCCTTCTACGTCCTCTGCTCATTTTTGGTACGTAATACTCGTATATAGTGTTACCTTGATAAAGGTTTGTACGACGCTACGTGAACACTTCAACGACAGTGTTAAAGTTAATACTGAGCTACAGCAGAGTGTTCATTTTCAGATCATCAATTTGTTTGTCGCAGTCATTATGGATAATTTCGACTATTTAACTAGAGACTGGTCAATACTGGGACCACACCACTTAGATGAATTTATAAGGTGAGCTTTACATCGCACATCTATTCATTTATATTATTATCAAAAAAATACTAAAAATTATCAACTCAAACCAACAACGACAATTCCTGGATTTTAGAGTTTATGTGTTAATAAATTCAAGTCATAGATAATCAGGTAACGATTGACAAGATATCTTCGGCACACTTATGGCCTTTTATTATTTTATTCATGATCCAGTAGAGATATCTCACAAATTCGTTAAGTTGGTTGTATAGAGTACACTACATATTAATAGTATTTGTAATGTTATCTACAGGTTATGGAGTGAATACGATCCCGATGCCAAGGGTAGAATAAAACATTTAGACGTAGTTACTTTGTTAAGGAAAATTAGTCCTCCTTTAGGTAAGTACTCTTCTATATATACCATACCTTAAAATGGCTATTGCATGCACTATAGCAGTTACTTCGTAAACAATGTATAGCGCGGTGGTACCGTCGCACAATTTTATTAGCAGGCATTCCTGATCAATTGGCAATTTCTGGTCTATTTTGTAGACGTGTAGTGGTGTTGCTGTTCCTGACTATGGGCGATAGTCTCTACTTTCCATTGACATTCCTGCTATTCCACTACCATACGAAAATCTAGTTACTATATATCTTTAAATATGGGCATCAGGTTTCGGCAAGTTGTGCCCGCACCGTGTGGCGTGCAAGAGGCTGGTGTCTATGAACATGCCGCTCAACTCGGACGGCACCGTGCTCTTCAACGCCACGCTGTTCGCGGTCGTCAGGACCTCGCTCAAGATCAAGACCGAAGGTAAACATTATATCATATAAGATGACCGACTATAGTCCGTAAAGTAGTCTCATCTAAGAAATCAAACTGTACCAAATTAAATTGAAATTGAAGAATAAAAAAACTAATACTAGTAGTAGTTTAACCAGTTGGTTATGTATTCAATATTTTTTTCTTTTTGAGCATTTAATTGAATTAGTGCTAATCGGTGGTTTGTATTCACACACTTAAACTTAAATTGTAAGTAAGAATAAATTATTTAAAAGAGCAACACACAAGTTTCTTGCTCGTTCTTCTTGTGATGAGACAGCATTCCGAATGAGCGGTAGATTAAAAAAAAAAAAAATGTTATGACTATTCAAAAGTGCTTCAATGTAAGTTTATTTGAATAAATGATTTTCTATTCTATTCTATTCTATTCTATTCTAATGAATGGCCGCAACGATTGGAAAAAATGGAGTCAAATTACAAAGTATTATCCCCATCACAGGCAACATAGACGATTGCAACACAGAACTTCGTGCTGTAATAAAGAAAATTTGGAAACGCACGTCACCTAAACTGTTGGACCAGGTGGTCCCGCCCCCGGGAGACCCCAACGAGATCACCGTCGGCAAGTTCTACGCCACCTTCCTTATACAAGATTACTTCAGAAGGTACCGCCTCGTCTTTGTTTTTAAACTTTTATTTTTTATATACTATAAATGTTGTAACTTTTTTATCAATATTTTGCATATTTACATTATCGTGAAATTTATTTTTAACAAAGATATACTTTGATAGTATTCTATAGATATTATCAGTGTGCTCACACATTAAATAATTGTTCGTGTGAAAACAAAAAAAAAAAGTCCTATACCATATTGAATATGCAATGTTTCAGTTAAATGAAAACCTTATATATATTTTGAAATCAAGAGATAAATGTATTAGTTTTGTAAGTTTTCGATCGATCGATTGTCTATTTTGGGTTGGGTCTGATAAAATCAATGCCGTGTCGTGATTGGTATCGCGATGCGACAGTAGAGAAGAAATGTTAAATATTAAATATCGTTTGATCAGTGCATCACATCATCATTTCGCCCTCTTGTTTTGTATGTCTTGTTCATGTTTCTTGGTCAAGTTCGGTTACCACTGACACATTTATTTTTGTTTCATAGGAATCACGCGTAAGTAACGCAAGGAGACGTATGTTGTTTAGGAATCAGAATGTGCCCTTAATAGTGTTGGTCATAAGTGCTACAGTGGCCCCTCAGAGTAGACCGGTACGGACATACGAGTAGATAGAGAAGTGTTCGCGGCCTCGGCCCGACCGTAGACGACCGCCCGAGTCGTGCCACTGGCGTAGTACGAGGACGAGTACCGTTTGGCCCCGCATGCCCGCATCCTCCCTCGACACGACCCTCGACCCTCGACCCTCGACATACGTACGACGTACATCGAGTATAAAGTCTTGTAATGAGTACTCTCAGTGTTGTAACATGCCTAGTGGTTTGGACAAAGTTTTTCCCTTGTACATTTGAACTTGTTTAACGTGAGCATGCAGAATTTTCGATTTTGATCTCATAAACTTTGTATTGTTACCTGTTCCAGCCAGTTTTATTTTCCTCTGTGACATTTCTAATGTTGTGTTTTCTTTTGTTACATTTTGCATTTAAATTAATTTTAGATTTAGTACAATTAAACGCAAACATGATAAATTTTTTTATAAAAAATGATTACGCTCTCTATCGTTAGTAATAAATAAACATTGAGAATAATTAGGATTGGTTTAATAGCTTTACATTATACATATTTAAAAGTAGTTCAGATCGAATGATAAATTGTTTGCTTATAAAAATTGAGTTCCTTAATACAATCTTACATCTAGCGATACTTTTGATAATAAATACGCTTATCATAATTAGCATTATTTCTTATCACTTTAATTTTCCTAGATATAGACTTAATAGTTGCACTCCAAAAATAGAATTGAAATACAAAATAATTGCGTATTTCAACAGATTTTAATTTTTTTTATCTGTAACCCAAGGTTCAAAAAACGAAAAGAGCAAGAAATGCGACAGAACGACGAACAGAATCATCAGATGACTCTACAAGCGGGACTGCGGACCCTACACGAGGCCGGCCCCGAACTGAAGCGGGCTATTTCTGGAAATCTAGACGACATAACCACGGAGTGCGATGTCCCAATGCACAGGGTAATACGCCAGCAATGTTCTCTATCATATGTATCGTACATAAGTTAAAATATGCAATCGAATGACTTTTTTAAACTTACATTAGTTACAATGTAATGTATGTTTGAACAGAGAAATCACTCGCTATTCGGTGGGGTGTGGTCGAGTATACGAAGGCACGGCCCCAACAGACACTTCCATAAACATCGGAAGCACGGTGATGCTCCAGGAGGTAATAATTTAACATAAATGATGCGATACGTATGGTGCTACATCGTGTGTTGTAACATGTTTGTGTTTCAGACGGCCTCGGCAACCATCTGAGCTCCATGATGCAGCGAGAGTACGGAGTGGGGCCGATACCATTAGCACCAAATTTGTGAGTCATTACACGCAACATAATAGTTAGGACTTTTGTGACTTTACTGTACATATTATTATGGTAAACAACAAACACTCTCTATTACAGAGCAAACGGTCAACCGAAGGAACAGATACCGCTGAGGCCACTGATATTCAACGGGGAATCGGAAAAAATATATCAAGTTCTCGAGTGAGTGTAAACTTTCATGTACAACATCATTCACAGTAACCAATGTCGCACTCTAATCACTGATCAGTGACGTCCATTAACTTCGTATTATACTAGATAATTCGATCCGATAAAAATATGCTTGTTATATTCCAGAAAAGCCACAAACGATCTAAAGAACGCTATTTACGCAGGTAGTCAAGTGTGGTTTGGTAGTGAATATTTTGCAATCTATCGTAGAACGTCTTCAGTTCTCGACTGACCCCGCGTGGCTAGCACTCTCGACTAACATTTCTCACTCGCATCCCCCGCCCGATCTCGTTCTGCTCTATTCTGACACCGTCTTCTATTTCACCGCTCACGTGTGGATCTCGGTAACGTATGGCACTAACAGCAACCAAAAGTCCAACTACCCGGAGATGCTCGGGCAGATTGGGCTGGCGTTCGGGTGCGTCAACTACCTGACGACGCCGAGCGAGGCGGCGCGGGCGGCGGCGGCGGCGTCGGTGTCGGCCTCGAGGCAGCGCGTGCACCCCGAGGAGGCGCCGCGCCGCGCCGAGCCCGAGGACGGGACGCCGTCGCCGGGCGCCGCCGCCGCCGCCGCCGACGCCATCCGCCCCAAGATATCGGCGCTGCTGGCGCACGAGTGCACGCCCACCACGGAGGCGCGCACGATGACGCTGTACGGCTACAACGCGGCGGCCCGGCTGCCGTTCGCATTCTCGCACGCGGCGCGGCGGGGCGCCGGCGGGGGCGCGGGCGGCGGCGCGGGGGGCGAGCGCCGCAGCCTGCGCGCGCCGCGGCCGCCGCCCGCAGGTCGGATGGTGCGCAGCGCCTCCTCGGGGGCGGCGGCCCCGCATGCGCCCGCCGCCCGGCTTGTAGATCGCGCGCACCACGCAGGTCCGCCCTCGAGCTTCGCGCTTCCTTCCGTCCCGGCCCCGGTCCCGTTCCCCCCTCCGCCCCCGCTCCCTCTCCGACGCTCCCTACCGACCTCTCGGTCGCTATCCGACTTGGACTTGTACTCGATTTATGACGAATTAATCCACTTCTTCGACACATGTCGCCTTCTGATTTCCGAGCCGTAACGAAGGAAGCGCCGAAGTGGCGAGGAATGACCCCATGTCACTAGTTCCGTAACCGACTTCCGGGAGGAGGGTGTCGCATCCGAGCGGCGGAGGCTCGGCTCGAGAGCGCCGCAGGTTTCACGTTCACACATCGCTTCCGCTGTTCCATGCAATATTCCACTTCCTCACGAATACGTACACGATATTCACACGACCACTCGTGCCGGCACCCAACAACTATACTTTATTGGCTAGTTCTCTTTCAGCTTTGAACCATGTTTGTCACATTTTAGCGAGGACTAACGATTAACGAGAGCCAGTGTTACCATCACTTAACAACTAAGTAAATAATAGCATGAATCGCATCGGAAAGTTTTAGACTTGCATTAGTGTAGGACTTAGCGGCTTCCTTAGCGTACATTTGCTATACCTAATCGATTTATTTAAATTGAACACTGTAAAACTTGCACGTCCACATGGAAAGTTTCACGAGAACAATCAATTTGTTTATAAAATTTTCAAATTAAATCAGTTTTGGCTTTTTCAATCATGTATAAAGTAATATTACGCGTATGACAAAGCTTTCAGAATATTGAATTTCGTAGCAGCCTCACGTAGATTATTCAAAGATTTCTTGAACCAAATGCCACCAGGTAACTTACAATTGATCTTATTATTTATATTATCAATATAAATAATAAGATCAATTGTAAGTAGACACATTAAATTCTCTGATTTATTTAGTTTAATTATATTATTTATGAGTGGTGCGTGGTGTGTTGTGTGTGGTACTGAGGAGGGTGTGCGGGGGCCGGTTGCAGGCGGCGCTAGCTCGGGCCGCAGCGTGGTGTCGCTGCCGGGCAGCCCGCGCGGCAACGACGCCGGCCTGCCCGTGGTCGGCTCCGCGGAGAGTCTCGTCACCAGGGTACCTGACCTCATCTCGACTCACCTGCTCATACATACATACATACATACCTACATTTAAGTGATCTACCTACTCCTATATATTAGGTTCTAACATATGAAATCAGCGTTTTGTAAGGGAAACATTCGGACGAGAATACATCAAATCTTTGAAAACGCTTTGGACTGCCCCATCGTAGTTGAACTTTTCTCTTGCAAAATGTTATCCAAAAAAAAATAAATGGTAATCTGTTGGAGCAAGAGCCGGGGAGTACGGAGGATGTCTTAGACATTCCAAATAAAGCTCTTCTAATTTGGTAACTTCATTATCAACCTTGGTTTTCCAGTTTGTAAACTGAGTGACGCAAAGAAATCCCCAAAGATGGAAAAAACATGGATTACGGTTTTCGAAAACATGCATGAGTAAATAGCTGTATAAATTTTAAATTGGAATTCCTAACCTTTTGGTTAGGAATTCAATTTTGCTGGCCACTTTGGTCTTAAATATCTCCTCTTATTTCATATGTAAGGACCTAATACAACGCTGAGCAGGACCATCAATTCATCGTTGCGTATTTTTTTTTATGCTTCTTAATTTTAAATAAAAATCTCATCTATTGTCATTCACATTTGTCATTTAAGTAATCGTTTAGTGAGTAAGGCCTTGCTCAATAAACATTTGACAATGTGTTAAATTTATTTAGAAGTAATTTCAGAATGTCGTTTGGTAACTTGTTGTAACATTTCGTAACCATTCATTCCCATAAAATACCAATTGACTTTTTCTAAACGATACTTAAGATCATCATGTTTGAGTTCAAATCTAGTCTTAATGTTATGAATATGGCCGTGTTCTTTGGAAATAAGTGAAGCTTCCTGTACAGTTAAGTAGCTATCAATTAGAATCTTTCATTATTTCTGCTGCTTTATAAATGAAGTATGTTTGTAACGTTGTGTTGTGTTGTGTTGTGTTGTGTTGTGTTGTGTGGTGTTGTGTGGTGCGGTGATTATAATGGCTACTATTGTAATGTATCGCAGGTGTTAGCCGAACAAGGCCTGGGTGCGTACTGCGACCCGGAGTTCGTTAAAAATACCTCCCGGGAAATGCAAGAGGCGCTTGAAATGACCCAAGAACAAATGGATAGGTGAGACACTACATACAACAAGAAAAACTTTGATTTTTTTTTTTTGTTTTAATATACAGCCCGCCGCTGTATCGCTGGTACATTCTGATACAGCTTGCTACACTCTCTATTGTTGACGAGGTATCTCCTTCTAAATATTGATCAATTACGTTGGTGTGGTATACTGTACTCAATGATGATTATATTAATGTACTAGTTGCTTGTTGCAGAGCGGCGCACCAGTTGATGATACACGAGAAAAATATTAAACAAGCTCAAAACCAACAAACTCAAGTTGTAAGTATAGGAGCCATGGCTCCGACACCAGCCAGCCAACACAATGACTCGCCCCCCTCAACGAGTTCTTACCATGACATGTGTTGAAACTAATTTTGCGATGCCTCTGTTACTGTTTTTTTTTTTTTTTATATTATCAGGAACCATTTTTATCTCAAAATCGATTGTATTTAATTAGAGCTTAGGTTTAAAAATCGTTACAAGCAGTTCAACTTCGCAAAAAAAAATGTGTTTTTGTAATAATAAATATATATACATCTTTAGCTAAAAATTACAGAATCGATTCGATCGGTCCTTCGATACATTACATATTATCCAAGTTGTCTGTAAGAGATTTCTTCGAGGCATAAGGCCGGCCTCTATTTTAACATTTTTTTTTTCTTATGTACAATAAAGAGCATTATTATTACAATTATTAAGGTTAGACTATCAAACAAATACGAGTAACACGTAGCACCTGCAATGTCTCAATACGTACGTGTCGATGTCTCTCACTCAACACGTACGTATTGTACGTATCGCCTGGGAGAGGTGCAGGTGGCGAGCTGTTGGTGTAGTGTGCGTGTGTGCGGGCGGGTGGTGTTGCAGGGCGAGGTGTCGGCGGTGGGGCGGCCGTTCCACCCGTTCCACCTGCACCAGCCCGCGACGCAGCCCCCGCCGCCCTACCAGCGGTTATAGCAGCAGCCGCCGCCGAGGGCGCGGGCCGCCGCCGCCCCCCGCGCCGCGCCCCCCGCCGCGCCCCCCGCCGCCCCGTGCTCGTGTAGCGCCCGCCGCCTGCTCCGCTGCCTGCTCGCATGACGCCCGCACCTCCTCTCTCCTCTCCCCTCGCGTCCTCTCTGCGTGAACGCGCTCGTTTGACGAGCACCATCCGACCGGGCGGAAGTAATATACTCGTGTATCTACACGAGTACTATTGAAAGTAACGTTTCTTCCTACGCGCTAACGCTCGTAGGCGTGGTCGAAGCGACAGTGAGATTTTAGATGAGTATATAGATATAAGAATATAAGAATATTTATTAGTCAAATTTGTATTAAAGTGAGCGGCGCGACATATGCGAGTGAATTGTAACGAAGCCTATGTAGACAACTCTGGTCTGTTTGTATCCGCCGAACTCTTTTATTATGTACTAAGTGAGACGTATTGTAACTTTTCGAATTTGAGAGAGAAAATAATTATCTCGACAACAATAATAATGTATAGAGATGATTATAATGTTAAGTGACATGTGGTTTCATAATAATAATACTAGCGTTTAGGTAACCGTCACTTGTGAGTTGCGACCGGATGTGACTGCTGGTGTGCTGGTGTGGTGTGGTGGTGTGGTGGTGTGGTGTGGTGGTGGTCGGTGGCCGTCCGTCCGACCGCAGCCCGCAGCTCACTACGCTGCCATCGTCTCACCGGTCGCAACATATAACTATTGTGCTAGCGGTGTATCCTCTCAGGAAAACATTTGTTACCAAAACAAATTGGTATTAGGTATGAAATTATTTAAAATACAACTCTTTGTATTTATTACAAAGGAAACTAATTCAGTACAGGATCCTCTAGTCTCCACAATGACGGGCCCCTGCGACAATACCGGACCAAAGTCATCGAACTGATTGTACGTAGTCCTTCGACAAATGTGTCATTCACTAGTCCATAAGAGTCTCTTGTCTCAACTCAACTAAACACTCTAAGACTCATCATAAAATGTGAGATTATTGTAAGTAAGCTCATCTAGTCAACTGCACCAACTACTAATGTTTGTTATGTATTTACTTGACCGTGGTCTGTCTGTCTGTCTGTCTCCATCGCCCCACTGTACAGTAAGTGAATGTGAGTGCGGCTCATTGCAGGCACGGGTTCCCTCTCCATGTCACAGTTGCATAAAAGACTTATCCAGTTGACCAATACCTACTGTCGCTGGATATCTTCTGCTGCGCAGAAACGCACTCCTCTGATCGGATGGTGGTGGTGGGACATGTTGTAATTGGTGACCACCATTGTCCGCGTTCCAATTTAATTGTTGTAGATGAATGTGTCCTAATGAAGGACTCCACTGTTTATGAAATATTGTAAAAATATATATTGTATATAAAATTGAAGACTAGTGCCAACCGCAATCTGGTTGCGGCGTTGTAATATTGTAATACTTGTGGAGGGTATTATTACGGTTCACTTACCGACAGCCGTTTAGAAAAAAATTCTCACTCGAGTAAGTGTCCTTTTAACCAGTGAATACGACGCGACGTCGCGGCGTCGGCGTCGTCACGACTCAGTAGGTGCGGCAGCGGACAGTTAGCCCATGTACCACGTACCACATTCCTCTAGGATTAAGAAGCATGTTTTGTTTGTCTGTGGCCTCTCTCTATATACCTAAGTAACGTTATGTAATATGAACAGGGCGGGGTCAAACAGCTTTACTAATTCTTCCGACAAACCTCTCTTTGAAGTGCCAATTTATCACCTTGTAACATTTTTGTAGTACTTTAATACTATCGTTTGTATTGTCACGCGTGATATGCATCGTGTGTGAGTGTCCACAAGAACCATCTCGTTCCCGGGATATATAATGGTGCACTCTACTGTAGCCGGGTGTCAGTTGTCCGGCCACTACAGCCGGCCCCGGACACGTTGATCGTAAACCACTGAAGGTATATTTCTCCCAGGTCGCTGTATGTAGACATACATACATACATATATATATTACTAATGAATTGTTTGTGTGATGCAGAGTGGAGACGGCATCATATATTTTATTACTTCTTAGAACGTATTTGTAAATATTGTACAAATTCAAAACTTACAACTTACTTGTATTTACGATATAATTCGGAACTCATTAGTTAGTCGAATTGTTTTGTACGTGACGCGTGGCGGTCGGCCCCGGCCGCCGCGCCGCCGCTCCACCTAATTATGTATATGTAAATATATTGAAACTTGTGACACGTATTTATTCCGTCAGTCATAGTTAAATTGATACATAATTAATTATCTATATTTATTGTTTTAAAACAAATTATGTAAAAATTGTTTTCATATAATTACAAATGTGAGAAAAAAAAATATGGTGTTTTATTGTTCCACCCGCTGACTCTGCTCAGTTCATCGCAACCCACATAGAAGAATCCTACGCATTGATTCACCTCGTTGCTAATATAATATTAGCAGCGACCGCATCCACCCACACGATGCAGTCGACGTAATAACAATCCCATCAAAAACATAAATGTGAAATGATAGCCGAGTTTAACATTATGATATATGCCTTGATTGTTGACTTCTACGACAAAGGAGGTGAGATCTAAATGGGTGCCAAGTTCAATGGTCTGTCCTGAAATGTATTTATAACAATATAAAATATCATTTCTTCTTATAACTTAGGATAATATACTGTAGCCTAAGGTCTAACTTGGCCAGTTCTCATATACCAATTATTACTTTCGATTGCTAGTTA